ATTGGTTTTATTGGATTTTATTCTCTTTAAAAAAATTGGTCCTTATTGTGATGCTTACTGCTTAGTCCTTTTTTCCCTAGTTTCTGTTAGATATCTTAAGGAAAGTTTTCATACACAAGAAGGGTTTGCATATTCTGTATTCAAACGAGTCTGTTCTTTTATTGCATCTGGAATTGTAGGGAGAACACTTTTCTGATACTCGGGGTAAAGAAGAACTCCCTCCTGCTTTTGTGTAGTACTTAACAGTCTCTTTTTAAAGGTTTATAGAGTCTTGATCCTATTTGGAGTTTATTTTTGTATATGGTGCAAAATTAAGTTACTTGCTTCCCACATAGTTGAATCTATCTGGGCTTTCCGTGATATTCTGTTGGTTTGTTTTTTGTGATGAGTGCTGCATTGTTTTGTTTGATGAAATTTTATAATATAATTTAATACAGTGTATTTTTAGTAAGGACAGTAGTATGTTTTGGGCCGGTTGAATTTATTATATTGTCATGAGGGTCCAGTATTCCATTTATTGCTTTTCTTTTTTTATTGTTTTCCTATTTTTGAAGCTTTACTTTTTTCATTGGACACTAATTGTCCATTTATCTAAGTTCTTCGTTTCAAAAGCTTATGGATACTTTTGTAGGAATTATAGGAGCCTAAAATTAACTTACAAGGGGCATGGAATCTTTATGATTTTTAGTTTTCTTATTTGTAAAAAGTGTCTTCTGTAGGACTACCTTTGTGTTTCAGGAGTTTTCCTCTTATTTTTGGCTAAATTTATTCCGAAGTATCTTTGTGTGTGTGTGTGTTTTTTTTTTTTTTTTTTTTTTTTTTTTTTTTTTTTTGTCTTTTTCCTTTTTATCGGTACCGGGGATCAAAATCAAGACTGCCTGCTTGCAAGGCAGGTGCTTATGCCACTGACCTAAATCCCCAGCCTCTAAAGTATCTTTGTTATAGTGAAAAATATTTTCTCCATCATTACATTTTCTAAATGATTATTTTTACATATGAATGCTATTGATTTCCTTGTTAAAGGTATATCTTCCTACTTTATTGAATGCTTTTGTTATTTGAGTTAAATTTACCATGGATTCCCAAATAGGAACATGAGATATTGGTCCTCTTTTTTCTCTTTTTGTGTTGTTACTTGATTGGCTTGGTTCATCCCTTCAGTTTAAATACTTTGTAGATAGTAGGCATTTTTGTTTTATTTCTTATTTGGATGGAAAAAAACCTTGAAATTTTCCCTATTATGATGTAGATTTAAGAGCGATGTTGTGTGTTTAATTATATTAAGATATCTACTTCCTTGAATTTTTTTAAAAATAAAAATGGTTATTCAGTTTTATTAGTCATTTTCAGAGCCTTGGAGATAATGTTTCTCTTTATGGAATGTTATACTTGTGAATTCTCTCCTAGTGAAATTGACTTTTTGTTCTTGGAATAAATCTTTGCTTTTATGGAATAAATCATTTTTTTCCCATATGGTATTGGATACTTTATTTAGATGTTTTACTTCATTTTTTATAAGTGATATTCTAACCTTAAAGTCTCAAATTTTTCTGTTTTTTATTGTCATCAGGTTTGGTTGTCAGTGTTACATATATTCATGCAGCTTTCCTTTACTTATAATGCTCTCAGATTTCAATTTAGAACTGAAAGAAACTGGCCCCTGAGAGACCTCAGGAGCACAAAAGGAATACAGGGAATCAAACCCATGACCTCTCACTTGTGGGCCAGGCTAGCTGAGCACCTAGCCCTGTGAGCCAGGTGCTCAGCTGGTCAGATTTCAAGCATTGATATTTTCCAAGTTTGAATCTGTGGTACAAATTCTTTTGAAATAATTGTATGCTTTGTGGATACTTACCTAGTAACTTAGTTTTTTCTCCAAAGAAAAAGATTTAATTTCATAAGATCATTTTTAATGCACTAATGAAATAACTTGTGCACAGTATACTTCTGTAGAGAATTACTTTTTCTAATTTTAAAATTTGCTTATTTTTCTATTTTAATAACTTCTCTTTATCATTTAACTTTGTGTATTTATATAATTTCCTTTTATTTTAAAATGAGCTACTATCTTATTTTTTAAAATCCGAGATTTTGATTAGGCATACTTATTAGTTTGCTTTAATGTTTGCATTTCTTTATCATTTTCACTTTTAAATTTTCTTTGTTAATTTTTAGTTTGAGCTGAGTATTTTTTTTTTTTTTTTGTTTTTGTTTTGGTACTGGGAATTGAACTCACTATTTCATGCTTTCCAGGCAGGCACTTATGCCCTAAGCTAATCTCCTGGCCCTAAGCTGAGTATTTGATTTGATTTCTATTAAAGTGCTAAAGAATACAGATATTTTCTAAGTACTGCTATATTTTTATAAATTCTGATATGTACTGGTTTTATTACTTTACAGAAGTTCTATAATTTCTTTATTTCATAGAAATTTCATAGAAGATCTATAGTATCTTAACAGACAGTGGAAAGTTACAATTGTATTATTGTTGGGTGGGTCATGGAGGTAGACAGATTCCTAGGAAAGTTTGTTTCAAACCTGGCAAAATGATAATTTCAGTGGCAACTTCCATTTACTGAATATTTTCTACATGATTATCTCTGAGCTAAATTGTTTATCTGTATTATCTCACTTAAGCTATATAATATTTTGGTATACTATTTCGTCATGCTCAAAGAGGAACTATGGCTTAGAGTTTTTAATGTAATTGTTCAAATTTGACTCCAGGGCCTGTGGCTTTTCTTCGGCAGTAACATTGTGAGGTCATAGAGGCAGTAGTATTGTGAGATCGTGTTAGTTACACAGGGTGACTGAAGTGATTGGCTCAGTGGTAGCTTTTCTGGCTTGTGCACACACAGCCGTTGTTTAAGGTACAGTTAACTGAGAAGGAAAACATGAAGCATTTTACATGGTTCATGTAAAATGGTGGCTAAGTTTCATGTACCTGTTGGACATCTAAATGGATCTGTCTGGACATAAGGTAAACATGTGGATGTGGAAGTCAGCAAGGACAATTTGTACTAGAGCTAAGTTGTCATTAGCTTATAGGTGGTGACTAAATAATAAGATTTGAAAGTGGTGTCCCAGAATATGGTGTACATTAAGTTAAAAAAAATACAGGAAATAATAAAATTTACCTTTCAGTGGAGAGACTAGAAAGAAAATAGGGAAAAATGGTCAAATTGTTAAGATGAAATCCAGGTGCTCATGGTATGAGAAGAGCCAAAAGATGTTTTCAAGGAATGTGGAGGATGTGTGCACTGGACAACTTAAAAACAAGCAGGTGTCTTTTTGTGATTTAATAACAATGAGAGGGCCCATGAAGTGGTAAGAATTGGATTAAAAAAAGCTAGAGTAAGGGGCTATAAATTATTTAAGGAATTCAGTTATGATGGGAAATTGAGACAGGACACTCTTAGTCACAAGTGAGTATTCCTTGTCCTTATATTTATATTATACTAATTTTCTTATCTTTAAAAACACTAACGGTATGTTTGTTATACTATACATTATAAATTAGTTGTAATATTTTGATGTTTTAGTGAACTATCTATCATCATAGAGTAGTGAAAACTAGAAAAAATAATATCTGAAAAATCTATACCAAGTACAAACATGAATTTAAATTCCAACATTGTTTGAGTTAAAATGGCTTTTGTGAAGCTAGAATATTTTAATTATCTAGTATGGCATATAGTATTCAAAGTTACAGTATTGCAGTATAATAAAAGTTTAAATAAGATATTTAAATAGTAAAGTACCATTCAGAAATGAGTATATTCTTTAGTTTATTAATACCTAATGACTTTCTAAATGTTTTTTCTCAGGGAAATATGCAATTTCCATTGTGAGCTGCCTTCACAGAATTTATAGTAGAACTTCACTGACATTTGCCACTGATGCCAATGTGGAATGAAGGTCTTTAAAATTCGCAAAGTCAACAATGGATAAATAAGTTACTGCTAAAAAATGACTCAAGTTACTCTTCTTAAATTTTTTTCCGTGGGGTGGGAAGTTTCTGAAAATTAAGCAAAAGCAGGGTTTTTGCACTGGGCTATATCCATGTGCTCCCTTTCTTTTTCTCTCTTTGTCTCTCTGTCTCTCCTCTTTTTGTCTATCTATTTTTTTTTTTTTAATTTTGTTATGTTTTATATTTTTGGAGACAGGATCTCACTAGGTTGCTGCGTTTCCCAGGCTGGGCTTGATCTCGCAATCCTCCTGCTTCAACCTCCCAGCCTGGAGGGATTACAGACATGTGCCACCTACCACATCTTTTTAAATTTTAACACACATGTTACTAATTTATTTGAATATTTAGAGAAGTATGTAAAAGTAAAGTACTATAAACATACCCTGATGATTTGACTTCATCTGGGTTCTTTTTTTATACTTGGCAATTGACTTTGCTTTTATGACCTTTTATTTGAATCCTAATCACAGTAAAATGATGGTTATGAAACTTATTACAAAATTGTATTTCCACATTTTTCTGTAGAAACAATCTAGCCATTGACTATTTTTAAACTGAAAAATTGTTTGTTACCAAAAGAATTAATAAAAAGAAGTAAGATTTATTCCTTCTCATGCACATCACTGTACTTGGTATCTGCTTGGCTGACTTCCCTGCTGGCTCAGGAGGTTGCCGAGTACAGAAGTGATCTTTCCTGTTCACCAGTGCCTGTGCTTGGTACTAGTAGGCACTGTAATGCCCTGGTTTTTTTTTTAATTAAATGAATTTTTCTGAATTAAATGAATGAATATGTATGCCATTGTATAGCAATGTTTTAGTATATTGGGACATTACAAAATTACTTTGCTGTTCTGGATGTTAAGTGGAAGTGTTTTGTCAAACCTAGAAATACTAGGTTTAGATTTTAGATATAGTCTTCAAGGTATAGTCATAAAATCCCGATTTTCAGTCTCATTGCTTTTCCTTCATTCCTTTCTCTTTGCGTCTACTTTCTTTCTTCCATTCACCCATCTTCTGTTTTCTTTAGTAGTCCTGTCCTCTGTGTTGTCCTTTAGTATCTGGAGTCCACCTGTCACCAGTGTCTCCCGAGCTTGTTGTGGACCATGAGCGCTCGTCTCCTTCAGCGGGCTGCTTTTCTCCTGATGCCTTTCTTTCCTCACCGGACAGCGTGCACACCGACAGCAGCGTCGGGGGCCACAGTGTTCCGAAAGCGCAGGTAAAGAGAAGGCATTTGCATAGGAAGCTCATACACATAAAAAATTGCATACTGGCTTAATTTATGCTTACATAATTTTTAAAAAAAATTATTCTGAAAGAAATATTTCTACAATAGATGATGTTTATACCTAGAATAAAAAAAAACTGGAAAATGTTTGTTTTGTGGCACAATTGCAAAGTATTCACTTAGTCTTAGTTAACTAAATATGGTTTTATTCATTTATTGTACTTGACCCAGCTTTGCATTTTAAATCATGAAATTCAAGGGGAAATAATTATAATAAAGAATATTTTTTAATTTAGAAATCATCAACATGTTTTGAGTATTAGAACATCTGTTGCAGTTAGGCAGATAGCAAAAAGAGAGCAGTCAATAGAGTCAGGTGCTGAAGTTGGATTTCCAGTGCTGGACTCAGAAAGTATTTTAAATAGCTTAAATACCTTGTTAATTTTTCTAGAAAGTGATGATCATTTAGAGGTCACTGACAAATTTCAAATTCTCATTTACAATTTAGAATGTAAACAGATTCTGTAAACTTAAGCACTGTGTGTATCAAATTTGTCTATACTTTATTGTACATTTTTAAGCATAAGAAAAGTTTTCAGTTCATTGCTAGAAATATAAATACTAAGTTAGACTTTAAAATTGAGAGGAAATTTCATTTTTTACTGCAAAGATCAGGTTATTGTAACTGTCTAAGGTTATCTGTCGATTTACTTAAAAAGATAATTTTGGGGCACTTGCTACAAGTTAATTTTGAAATGTGGTTTTGATACTGTTTGGCCATTTTCATTTGGGGATAATATAAACTTTCCTCTCTCTTATGTATGTGTTTGTTTTTCAATGTGGTTTAGGTTCAGCAATCAACACATACACATCTAGACATCCCACTTTTTCCATTGAGTTTATCGGATGAGACAAGTAATGGAACAGTTGCTCTTGGGGATGATTCTGAAGATCCTGCAGCCAGCATATCAAACATACAGCTTCGGCAAAAAATTTCAGATCTGGAGATGAAACTCAAAATGTCTGAAGAAGAAAAACAACGGATTAAAAAGGCACGTTAACATTTACCTAGGAAATGTGTTTGAGTTGTCTGTACTGGAACTTTGATACAGTGCAAAACTGTGATTAAGAGCTCATCAGAAGAGGAAGATACTCTCTTCCCTTGGGTATAGTACATCTCTAAATGAGTCACAGCACCATATTAACTGGCAGAGTCTTTGATAGGAAACTTCTCATCTTAAATGTGGCAGTCCTTTGTATCCATGGATTCCACAAACATGTTTCTGCATCTGTGGGTTCAGAATATTTGGAGGGAAAATAAACCTGTGTACTGACTTCTACAAGAGCTTTTGTTCATGTCATTTTTATTTTCCATAAATAGTACAAATGTAGAAGTGACTTAATGGCGATGTGCTTAGTTTTTTGTTTTTGTTTTTGATATAGCGTCTCACTGTGTAGTGCACGCTAGCTTTACACTCACTTATGTAGCCCAAGGTGTCCTCCACTCCTGATGATCCTCCTGCCTTAGCCTCCCAAGTGCTGGAATTGCAGCACCTGTGCCAGCCACCACATCCCGGCAAGATGTGCTTAGTACATATGCAAATAGTTTGGCATTTTATATAAGAGATTTGTGCATCTTTGGATTTGGATATCAGGAAGGATCCTGACCAAACTAGTATAGATTTTGAGGTATCCATATATACTTTGAAGAGATGAGCAACTTTTACTAGAGTTTTTGTGTTTCTGTTTTTTTTGTTTTTCTCTAATTAGTACTTTTCTTTCTAGTTGATTTACTTTGAATGGTGGCAGTATTGTATTTCTTATGAAAACTTGAAATTTTATAACATTAATCTCTGAGAAGTCAGTCATCATTTGGGGATATTTGACCAGAGTACTTAGATGTACATACAGATATTTTAGTAAATTACTTATAGTACATATGCAATTTATCCTAATGAATTTATAGAAAGTATGTAAACATTGCTTTTGTTGATTGAAATTAATGGAGATGCTCTTACTCGTTAGAATAGTGTTATATAGTTAGTGTTATTTTAATGTTTGGTAATTGGGAAATTTACCATTTTTAATACTGTTAAGAGTTTTACCATGCTTCCTATGGGTTATTTTATAGACAGATGTTTTCTATATTCATTGAAACTATTTTATCCCATGAAGTGTTACTGAGTTTGTGATTGGATTTTTCTTTCAGGATGTAGAATCATTAATGGAAAAGCACGGTATCTTAGAAAAAGACTTTCTAAAAGAAAGAGAGCAAGAAGCCATTTCCTTTCAAGACAGATACAAAGAACTACAGGTAGGCACTAGGTTTAAAGTTCAAAATACAGATCTTCTGATGAAGCGTGTACTATAATTTCAAAAATTACTCCACAAAAATAAACGAATAATCTGATATTCTATTTTATTTTTCTGCATTGTGCTCTTTACATCTGACAGTGTTACTTGCCTGGATCATTTTACTAGTTCTAAGTGGCTCTCACATTTGCCCTTCTCTTCAGTGAAGTTTTAGTTTAGCATGTAAAGTAGTGTTTTAAACTACAGATTAGCTCCTGAAAGTAATTCCCATTTTCTTTCTAACGAAAATCTTGTGCCTCCTCTGGCTTCTTCATTTGACCCCCGTCATTTATATACATCAGTCCTCACAGTAGGGTCCCTGTGAAGAGCTGAGCCCATGGACAGGCACTCATCTTCTCTCTGAAAGGAAAGATAAACACTCTACCTCTACATGTGTATTTGTGGCTCTTTTGAAAAAAGAAGACAGCAAAACTTTGAAATATGGGAGAAAATGAGAAATGTGTCTTTTCAATTTCCACTGGAATCGTTATTTAATAGACCTACCACTAGAGCTATTTCAAAGAACATGCTTTATTTGACTCACTGCTGTGGATAACAGTCTCAGATATAGTTATTTGTTAACTTAATGAATTTTTTCCACAGAATAAAAATAATTACTTTGTGCTAGAAAAGATAGCTACAAAGGATATAGTTTATTTTCTGTAGGGTATTAACCATGTTTGTCTGTAACTTTATGCTCTGAGTCTTAACATTTCATCGTTAATTTTTCTGCATGAGTGTCAGCTCTTCAAGCACTCTTTTAGCCAGTCTTAATATCTTAATTCATACAGTCTTAAAGGTTCATGAGTAGAAAAATCCTTGGTGTATATTCAGTTTGTTTGAGTTACATAGTAAACTCTTGGACATTATATTTTTAGCAGGTCTCACTAATCCTTTGTTTCTTTGTCTTTGTTCAAATGTTACCTTCTTGCAGAGGCTTTTCTTGACTGTGCTACAGAAAATAAGACCCTTTATACATGCTCAGTATTTTTTAAGCCCTTTTTATTTCCTTACTGCTATTATGTTTTAAGTCTTAGCACCTGTTATTTTGGTTTATTTTCTGTGTTCTCCTCACCAGAGTATAAGCTCCTTGAGATTAGGAACTTCCTTTTGTTGTGCCTAGAGCAGTAACTGGCATGTAGTGTGTGCTCAATTAATACTTTTTTGTGAATGAATGGGTTAATGAATAAACAAACTAGTACATGAATCCTGCTCCCCAAGAGTTAGTGGCATTGTGTACAGCCACACCTGTGGCTTTCTGAACATCCAATTATGGTGCTCATTAAAAAGCACTATACTAAATACCGAGGAAACCTTGTAGTTTTTATCTCCATTGAGTGATGCATGCTGGTCTTAGTGAAAAGTATCTTTTCAAATTCAGTTTATAAATAATAACATACCTTAGAGAGTAAGACTTGATATATAACACATTGAACTTTTCACAGCAAAAGATAGAGATCTTTTATAAATCCCAAGTGGTATTAATAGCATAGTTTTACTAATTTTACTGTGTAATAATAGTGATATAAGACTTATGACTTGAGTCTTCAATACTAATACTTTAGTACTAGTCTCTGTCCTTCTTTTCATTGTATATGAATGAAAGAGTAAATTATGCTATTTTTCTCACATTGCTGTAAGAGGTTTCTGTTTTAGTTACATTTCGTATTGCTGAGACAAAATTCCCAATGCTCAGTTAAAAGAAGAAAGATTTATGTAGCTCACAGTTTATAGAGGTTTCAATTCATAATTAGTTGACTCCAAGGCAGGGTGATGTGGCAGAGGGGCATCACAGAGCAAAAGCAGTTCTTGGCAGGCAGAAGGCAGCAAGCTGCGAGTGATAAACAGTGACCTTCCTGAGGGTGGTAGCACTGACCTGTGGTGGGGCAGCCTTAATCCTAGAGTGGCACCCTCCTTAATCCCAGCATCACATCCCGAAATCTTGGTGTTTATGCCTTTGGTAGGACAAATGGCAACGTGTATGCACATGTGCAAAAGTGTTGAACTGGGATTTTTTTCTGCATTTATATTCCATTTAAGAGTTTTTGTGTATGTTTATATGAGCTTTATGGGTGTGTGCTTACACCTGCATCATTTGTCTGTTATGTAAACATGTACTTTACCATAATGAAGTGTGGGTTTATTTTGATTTTTCTGTTAGGAAGCTCAGTTTAGTACAGTGGCATATAAAAAAACCAGATTTGCAAGTTTTGGAGGAGGTCGACAGTGAGTCATCAGATTGTTCATGCAAGAATGATGAAGAAGATGATGATGACTTTGACATTGGTTATGTGAGCCAATTTCCTGTAACAGTGAAATGGAGCAAGAATCCACCAATACAGACAAGGAATGCAGACCTCCTTGATTTAGATGGTAAAAAAACACAACAATATGAGTACATATTTAACCAATATAAATGAGACAAAATGGTCACACAAACAAATGGAACTGTTCAGTATTAGAATTAGGTCCAAAATTGTAATGAGGATCTTGGTAGAGTTGAAGCCTGATGTACGGAATGCCAGCACTACCATTCAGTGTTTAAAATTATTTGTAACAGATGAAATGCTAGCTATAAAAGGCTGTGAAATACACAAATATTGAAGTACAAGTAAAACCTTCTTTATGCACTGATAGCCAAACTCAAAATGTATTTACTATGTCATTTCACTAGCTGAACTCAAAACATCATAGATCTGCTACACTTAGCAACTCATTGCAGGAATGTAAAAGGCTCATGAAAAAGCTATGGTTGTAGGCTTGAGGTTTGTAGAATAGTCAGGACATTTTATTTCTTTCAGAATTGCTTGGGGTTTAATAACAAAACCACCCCTTTCCCCAAGAAAAAAATCCGATAATCTGGCTGCTCATGGTTTGAGAGACTTGTGGGTAACTGTTAAGCAACTTATACATCTCTGAATAAATGACTATCTATGAGCATCCCACAGCATTTCATGATTGCTGTAACTTCAGGCAGTACTTCCCCCAAAATCTCATAACATGGCAGAAGAATTTATGCCTTTGTAGAAGTGAAGACTGCCTTGTTTTTAATTTAGAAATTTATCCTGGAACTCAGCCACTAGGTCTTTACGCATATACCAGTAAACCAAATGATGTTGTGAACAGATTCATTGCTCCATTCTCCCAAACTAATTGGAATGTGAAATTCCCAGTTGGTTTACCAGTTTTTAGTTGATGTTACATTTGGATATAGAGCACACGTTGAGCAGCTTAGGAACTGTGTTCAGGAACAAGACAGAAATTCCAAATGAAATGTTGCAGTTCCAAACAGTGTTGTATGGTATAATCTTTAGATTTTAGAAACATATAATACTGGCTTTGTTTATGGCAAAGAAAACAAATTGGTGCTGCTGGTGTCACCATTGCACCATGATGAAATTATTTACAAGGAAACCTCAACAAAATGAAATGCCTAACATGGTGACTTTCTGCAGCAAAACCAAAGGAGGAGTGGATGTGGTTGATGAGTTATGGAGCGATATGATGTCACTCAAAACTCAAAGCATTGGCCAATGGTTATGCTTTACTCAATCCTAAACATATGTGGCATAAATGGTTTGATTGTTTACAAAGAAAGTAATAAATACAAAATACCAGGGAGAAGTATTCTTACAAGATTAGGACTGGAATTCATAAGAGATCATTATGGCAAAGAAAAAATAAAATGTTTCTTCTCACGGAGCTACACACAATAAAGTTGTGAAGGACACTGGTGAGCTGAAAGGTGGACAGGCAGGACAATAACTACAGGAAAACCAAAAAGATGTCAATTGTGCCCTGTGGGAATGGACAGGAAACAAAACATGTTCTATCAATGTAAGCAATATTTGTATAAGGAGTAGGCAGTTGTCATGTGTGAAGACAGTTGAAGCAAAGCTTATTTCTGTGGTAGACTTCTATTTGTGTTTATATTGTAGTTTGTGTGGGAATTTATTTCTGATGTTCTCTTCTGAGTTCATAAGTAAACAGCTGGTATGAAAATGTTGATGTCTATTCTAAGCGCTCATTACCTATTTGATATTTTATTTTCTTGATAAGTGCACATTGTACAAGATAGTTGGAAGCTTTTGAGAAAACAGGAACTGACAAGACTGCCACATAGAAAAGGAAAGCTGAGCACATGTGCTGTCAGTGTGAGACGTGTGTATGAAACAGGCAGTTGTTATGTGTAAAGACTGCCTTGGGAGTGAATTGAAGTAAAGATTATTTTTTGTAGCGTTTTATTGATACTTTCTTTGTAGTTTATATAGGAATTTACTATTCATGTTACCTTTCAGGTTTTGTAAGCAAGTACACAGTTTACATGGAAATGATGTTTATTCTAAATGCACAACACATATTAGAAATTTGATACTTCATTGATATTTTATGTTCCTGTTAACTTCACACTGTGTAATAAGAACCTCTTGACAAAACAGCAAGAGCAGTGAGATGTCAAGTATGTAGTGCAAAAGGTCTGGAAAGCAAACCATAAATGCAGTAAGTGATAGGTATGTATGGAATGTGGTATTGTCATGTGTGATGACTGCCATAGTGTGATAATTGAAGTAAAGATTGTTTTTTGTAGAGTGCTTTTGGTATTTTCATTGTAGTTTATCTAGGAGTTTATTTCTTGGGCTGGGGATTTAGCTCAGTGGCATAAGCACCTGCCTTGTAAGCAGGCAGTCGTGAGTTCGATCCCCAGTACCGATAAAAAAAAAAAAAAAAGACAGGAGTTTATTTCTTTTGTTATAATTTAGGCTTTATACGCCACAAAACAATTGATGTTGAAAATTTTGATGCTTTTTATAAACAATGAATTCTAAAAATTCAATAGTTAAATTTTTTGAAAAATAATAAAACTTATAAAATTAAAGTTAATAAATAAGGCATGACTATTTTACACTGACAATAATGTGCCCCTATGACAAAATTGTGTGATGTCCTATGGGGTGCATTGCA